GACGGTTGCTGTGAGGTGGATGTCTGCCCGGAGTTCCAGACCCTCACCGGAGATGTCATCTCACGCACCGCGTTCGGCAGCAGCTACCTCGAAGGAAGAAGGATTTTCGAGCTGCAGTCTGTGCAAGCCGACCGCATTGTGGCCGAAGTTAAGAAGATGTTCATTCCTGGTTATATGTGAGTAACTCCTTAACTCTTACCATCCTTCTAATATTGTAAGCATGCATGTTCCTGAACTTTTGTTTTTACATGTGAGTACTGATTTAGCAGTGAGATCCATATTTTGAACGTAAAATGTATGTACTCATTTAGCGGACCCGATTCATATATATGTACTGATATCCACAGGAAATTTCCAGGTCCTTGCCTACCAAGAAGAACAGACTGATGCATCAAACTAATAACGAGATTGAATCCATTCTACGAGGCCTGATTGAAAAAAGAATGCAAGCGATGCAACAAGGAGAAAGCACCAAAGATGATTTACTCGGCTTAATGCTTGAGTCAAACATGAGGGAAACAGACGACAAGGGTCAGCCCATCCTAGGAATGACAATTGAAGAAGTGATAGAGGAATGCAAATTGTTCTATTTTGCAGGGTCAGAGACGACATCGGTACTTCTCACTTGGACAATGATCGTACTGGCCATGCACCCTGAGTGGCAGGGCCGTGCAAGGGAGGAGGTCCTTGGCCTATTTGCGAAGAATAAGCCCGAGTATGACGGCTTTAGCAAACTCAAAACCGTGAGTACATTTTGATATTGCAATACTAACACCAAACTAATGGCAACTAGAGTTTTAAAATTTACCACTCTACTTGTAGGTGACCATGATTCTTTACGAGGTTCTCCGTCTTTACCCGCCGGCTGTTGCATTCATGCGAAAAACATACAAGGAGATAGAGATTGGAAGCATCACCTACCCTGCCGGTGTGATCATCGAGCTTCCTGTGCTGCTTATCCACCATGACCCAGACATATGGGGAAGCGATGTGCATGAGTTCAAGCCAGAAAGGTTTGCTGATGGGATAGCCAAGGCATCCAAGGATCCTGGTGCCTTCCTCCCATTTGGTTGGGGTCCACGGATCTGCATCGGTCAGAATTTTGCTCTGCTTGAGGCCAAGATGGCTCTGTGCATGATCCTTCAACATTTCGAATTCGAGCTTGGCCCAACGTATTCTCATGTGCCGCATAACCAGAAAATGTTGCGCCCCATGCATGGTGCACAAATTAAGCTCAGGGCAATATGATAGTGAGCATTTTAGCAGTGTGCATGATATCATTTTATTACATAGTTTTTAGTGGTTGGCCATGTAATAAGCTTTCATACCTACAGATGTTTGAAATAAAGTCCAACCGTGTTGCGCATATGTAACACTACTAGCAAACTATTTTTTTGTTCTTGATTTTAACTTTCCATGTTGTACTGTGGAAAGGAAGATACGTCCTTTTCGCTATCCTTCCTTCAGGCTCTTGTTAAGATGCCACTTCATAAATATTGACTCTTCAAAGGACAGTCTCATGGCACTAAAGGGTCCATTTGTTCTCATGAAGGTTCCCTAATCTTATGACAAATTCTGTTCCATTTTTCTATTGCTTCCCTCTATCTCGTCTCATGTCTCACACTTATCTTGCCCATTATGCAATGTAACATTGATAGAACAACCAACGCTCTTGCTTCCAACATATGGTTGCAATTACAAGCAAGTAAATATTGTAAAACCAATGCATCCATAACAAGTTCATGTTGTAGACAGAGGTACGTGTAATGATAAGTTATCATTTATAACTGACATAAAATTCAGACATGTTATTTAGAAGGATGTCACACTTTGGGAATTCACCAAAAATGCCTTGACCACTGGTTTTGGGGCTTACTTTCAATCCAATTTGTAAGTGGCAATGCAATCCTTTTTCCTGCTTGTCCATGTTTTCATTCCACTTATCAACAGTGGTTGCTCTCGCAATGGCCCAAATATTTATTTTTTAGTGTCTCTCCTTTAAACATTTTGTGGAAATTCTGATGTAGATGTCTAACACAAAATCTATGTCCAACATCTAGAAACGCTTTATCAATTACATTTATCAACCCCTTCTTCTTGCCAATCATGATAGTATAGGGGGAGGTACTGAAAATGTCCATGTTTTCTTAATGTCGTGAGAAACCATTCCCATGAATAGGTTGATTCCACCTCGATCATACCCATAGCAGCTATGGGGTAGATACAATCATTTGGGTCTATGCCCACTTCACACAAAGCAACTGACCTTTGTACATGCTTTTCAAGTGACAACATCAACATATAAAATTAGTCCGCACCCCTTTAAGAACCCTCTCTTGCTGGCATCATAAGCCCAATATAATGAAGACAAATGGTCCTTCAGATCTTGGTCATCCTTCTCCTTTACCTGCATAGTGCAAACAATGAATGTTCTACCATGGTTACTTCTTATGAGTTATTGGCCATAATCCCACAACCAATTGTACTGGTCTGCTTCATTCCCACGAATTATTTCTAGTGTTGTCTTCCTCGCCCTATTGAACTTCATCTATTTGGGAGTAGTTTGTACTCTCTCTGAAGTTTCTTCCCAAAAGTGCTCAAATCCATCTTATGTCATCCCTAAACTTCTTAATGGACTTCTTTGTAAGCAGGTTCACAGTCAAGCACTTAGAATCCAAGCTCCTCCGACAGGTGTGGTTGCCATTGTAGTTCTTAATGACAATGCTCCATGTCTTGTTGTCTTTAGATGCTTTAAACATCCAAGGACAACCTTCTGAACAAAACACATTCATCCTAGTTGCCTAATTTCTAGCTTTTATGGATCTTAACTCTCTCTC